CCTAATTGATTTAATAATAAAAACCTGGAGCCAGATATTGGGGTAAATGCTGAAAGATCAGAGAAGTAAAGAAGACGGCCACTGGAGAGACTCCTTACCTTTACCTAAACCTTAGGCCGAAAGGGCTCCTGTCTCCTCCCGCCTTATATTCCTCTCTCTCTGCCCAGCCATATCACTTCCTGTCTTCACCTCCCTAGTGCTGGGATAAAAGGTGTGTTACTCCCGAGTACTGGGATCAAAGGCAGGAGATCCCAAGTGCTGGGATTGAAGGCATGAGACTCCACTGATCTTCCTACTTCCTCCTCCCTAGTGCTGGGATTAAAGGTGTGCCACCACTGCCTGGCCTCTATGGTTAACTAATGGCTAGCTCTGCCCTCTGATCTTCAGGCAAGCCTTATTTATTAGAGCACAAACAAAATATCACCACAATCATTCATTCATGTTGCCATTTCTGGTGTCACTGTAGCCTTTTCTGGACTTGCATGAGACTGTTTCAGGGTTGTTGGAGTGGTGGTATGTAGAGAAGGACTGGTCTGACCTAGAACTTGTATGAATATTGCAGAAAGATGCTCAGGGGACTCTACTTCATTATTGTCCATAAGTCAAAAGTGTACACGTGGGCTGGACATGGTGGCGCGCGCCTTTAATCCCAGCACTCAGGAGGCAGAGGCAGGCGGATCTCTGTGAGTTGGAGGCCAACCTGGTCTATATAACGAGTTCCAAGACAACCAGAGCTGCATAGTGAGACCTTGACTCAAAAAGAAGAAAAAATGCACATGGCAGTTTTTCTACACACTGACATACTGTTCTTGATTGCAGGCGACATGCATCTTGAGTCTCTCGAGAAGGGATGGGCCTGTGTCAGCCTGCTTCTTTCTTTCCTCCCAGCTATTTTTAGCTAAAAAAAGAAAAAAGAAAAATCTTGCAGGCCGCAAGAATATATCATAGAGATTCAGCTGTGTATTAAAGCTGATCTTTGACCTGACCGGCCAAGGGTCTGTCAAAAGGCAAAGCCATTTATTATGAATATTTGGTGTTACCTGGCCTTTAATATTCCAGCTGTCTTCTGCTATGAAATCCTGCGTGCCCAGACCAATTGGTAAACTGTTCAGCTCCGCAGACCTGCTGAACCTACTAAATTACTAACTGTTCTACTGAGTTTAGGAGACCAGCTGGCAGGAGACACACAGCTTTGTTTCCTGTGTTAATGAAGCTCAGACCATCCTCTCGCCAAGAGGAGGCCTAGTGGTTCTCCGGAGCACTTTGAGAACAAAAGAGGTTTTTACATATCAAGGTGAGAGGTAGAATAACATTCCTGAGGAGGCAGGGAACCTTGTGCCCAGGGAAAGAAAAGGCAGGTATTTTCTGTAGACAGAGAGAGAATAGCACATGTGCTGAGATTCTATTTCCCAAAATAGTCCTCACTGTTAGTAGTTCTCTCTCCTGAGCCCCTGGGATGTATAATACTAAGACTGGTCCCTTATACAAGAGTAAAAGAAAGATTGCTGTTAAAATTTAGGACTGCCTGCTATTGTGGTACATATCTGTAATCATAGGAAGCTAAGGCAGGAGGATTGCAAATTCCGAGTTAGCCTGGGCTGCATAATGGAGCCCTGTCTCAAAAAATAAAAACAGACAGGTAATGTTTGAAGCACACTAAGTAAAATTTAAGTGATTTTTATATGTATCTGAAGCTGCTTTTCAGCAATATCTCCCAGCTTCTTCTTTTTCCTGGTTTTTTTTTTTTTTTTGGTGTGCCTATTTGTATGTACATGACAAATATATGTGCATGTGTTTGTAGGCTAGAGGTGGATAGTGGGTGTCTTCCTTAATCACTCATTAAATTATTTTTAATTTCTTAAACTACATTTGTTCATCTGAGAGAGAGCGTGCGTGCATGTATGTACATGTACGGGTACGTGTGTAAGCACACATGTGTGTTAGTTATTTGGCGTCGCTCTTACCCTGCGAGGAAATGTCACGAAACACGACAGAATCCACTAACAAGAGTTTTATTAAGATAAGAGAGAGAGAGACAGACGTGACGGGCCTGCGGGAAAGACATGTGCATAAAGAGAGGAGCCGGGGATATGGGGCCGGCTTATAAAGGCTGGGCCGCGACTGTGTACACAGACTCATGTGGCTACTCCATGCATGCGCATAGATCACATGGTTGCACTGCGTGCTTTACACAACCATGCAAAGCCATGGAGTCCTGGTCACACGAGACGTTTTGACCTGGTAATGACTAGGTGGAAGTGTCTAGGTCCGCCGGGCATGCCCAACCTGGGGGCATGTTGTGAATCTGTCAACGTGTACCACTGAGCACATGTGGAGGTCAGAGGACAACTCGTGAGACTTGGTTTTTTCCTTCCATCCCTTGTGTTTCAGGGATGGAACTCAGGCTGTCAGGCTTGGTGG